AGAAGTGCTCATTTGTAACTTTTGAGCCCAATACCCCTTAATTAAGGAATATACCTTAAATTATAGGGGCCTTAATATTATGATTTAAGGTATATCCCTTAATGAATGCATCTACAGGCTAGAGGCGGACTACACCCCCCAAACCATACACAGGACCCCGAACAGCTGCCACCGGGTTTAGGGTTTAGGGTTTAGGGCACCCAGGCAAGTGCGCCTCCGCCTCCGAAAGCGAAGCCGGCTGCCAAAGCTCCAGCGCAAACCATTTGACAGATCAGGCAGCCAGTGAAGCGAAATTGTGCCGCGATGAGTGGATGGCTTCATGAACTAGAACATATGCATGGATGTTTACATGTTCTTGTATAGGGGTCTGGCATATATGTATATATATATATATACATATGTGTGTGTGTACATATCATCCATATATACATATATGTTATACATATATGTACGCATGCATATATGTTATATATATCCGATCACGGAGTGCTGTCTGGCAGCTAACCGCATCTGCAAGTCTAGGCTAAGCCTAGGCTCAGTATAGAGACTGGAACGGGTTCCGCATACTGCTCAGGCACATAGGCTTCAGTTCCGGATGCATATAGTAGCCTGGACCAGAGGTCCCTCCAATGACTTGCAGCTCCCAAAATTAGGGTCGCCCCAAGTCCTCAACGATCTAGAATCTCTGACTGGCCGGAGTTCAAGACTCAGAGACCATTCTGTCAACTCAGACCGCTACAACAAGATCGGAGCTGCACGCCGGTGCGTTGGGGCCGGGTTCCACGTTGCTGCTTAGCCCCATGCGTCTGCACAGATCGACTGGCCCAATTTGCTGTCTGCTCCACCTGCTTCTTATGTGGGCCTAGGCCTAGACCAGGCATCTTGCCTCAACTTCGCTTCATCTTGGAGCCAGCATGCATGATCTCTTCTTGTCTTCTCTATGTCGACGACCATGGAACATGTGCGCCATACAATCGTCCGAACGACTATCGTTTCGGCCCACAGCTGGCCGACGTGGGTCCGGAATGCCGTGACGCATTGCGCCGGAGCCCCAGACCGGTACAAAGTCTCGCTGGAGAATTTATCTTTGAGTTGCAGTGTTCAGGGTGGTTCGTTTTCTCTTGAGTTTAGTACCTGTAGTATTAATGTCCTTCCGTGAGGTTTTCGGAGGGCGTGGAAAGCTAACCCACTCCTTCGCTCTCACAAATAGTATCGCACTCTATGACTATGAGTCTACGACAGACGAAGTATGAATCCCCATGTGCAACCCTGCGAAACTAGCTTCGAAGCAATTTGAGCTGCAAAGATGCATATTCCCACAGAAAGTATACCCTGCAAGAGCCCCCCTACAACTAACCCTAAACGCTAAACCCTAAACGCTAAACCCTAAACCCTAAAACCTAAACCTCCACAGACCCTTTCTCCGACTTGTAACTCAACAGTACTCCCTGCGGTGCGACTTGTCAGCTGGGCGGGTGGGAAAAAAACCCAAACCTTCCGTCATCTTGGCCTGAGGTCACCACGGCGTCCGAGAGCCCAGCCACCTGCGAAGCCAGGATGGTGCAGGCGCCGGACATGCATCCGGAGAATCCCACCGTATCGTCCCTATATAGTATACCCCGGTGGTGTTGCCGTCTTTCAGGCAGTACTGCCTGTAGCAACATAGTACACGTATTATGGGCATGTCGGCAAGAACGGAAGTTTTTCGTCGCGCGCGCGCGCGTGCGTTGACATCCGCACGGCATCATCTGTGTAACACTCGCAGTGCACCCGCAGGCGGCTCCGCATGCCTATGCATGGAACATGGATTGAGGCTGTTTCTGGTGGAAGTTGCGAAGATGCTTTAGCTTAAGGGCATGCGGCATAAGGTTAATGCTGTTCCGACTTTGTGGCTTCTACTTCAACGCACGGGTCAGGCGGATGATGATGAAGAGGAAGTACTGTTCCAGTCGGACGATGCCGTGGGCCGGGACCTCGGAGGTGCGATTTCGTATCGGGAGATGCCAAGTTATCCATGGAATTCACTTCTTTCCCACCCAAAGTCACGCTTGAAGATCTCGATGCAGTGGGCTCTGTCCACATCATGAGCCTGCGCCCGTTGGGTTTTTGTTGAAAGCTGAGGGCCTCCTTCAGCAGTGCTTGCTTCAGAGATCATCCCCAGAAGCTCATCAGAAGGCGTCGACTAACACCGTCAACCCCCAAAGCGGGCTGGAGCAGGGATTTCAGTTTGAGAGTCTTAGCGACCTTTCGTTTGCACTTCATGGCGGCGCCGCCAGCAGCCCAAGAGGTGGCGGAGGAGATCCAAGAGCGGCTTGGACGGCTGAAAGCACGGATGGCCCAAGCTTCCAGGCGAGAGTGGAACAAGGAGGATTGGCGCATCTACGATGCCAGCAAGGACGTGTTTGCACTAGAAAATCTCCATCGATATGTGCCCACTGGACATGGTCGAGGTTTTTTCCAACCAGAAGCATCGCTTCTATTTTGGAAAGCATTGGCGAACTATCAGGTTGGCCAGCACTCTTTCGCGAGAAGGGCGTAGAGAACTTTCGGTTTCGCAGCTTTGACGGCGGCGGCCTGGAACCGGGATCGAAGAAGCGGGTGAAGAAGAAGAAGAAGAAGGAGGAGTTTCTGAGCACCTGGACGGCAGTGGTGGAAGTTCTGCGGAGACATACCTCGGAGTCGGAGAACCGGGAGCAGATTCAGATTCTCTTTCACTGCTGCCTGGGAACCGACAGCTACCGCAGCTTCGGTTGCTGTGCTCATCTCGCTTTAAATGAGCACCGAGGAGGCCATCGACCATGTCCTCAAGGCTCGTGCTGGGCAGGCGTATTGGAAAGGCAAGCACTGGATGCTGGAAGCTTTGATTTAAGTGCGAGGCGCAGCGTGATGCCCGGACATTGGCCTCCAGGTCGGAGTACCTATAGGGTCATACCCTACCCCTTTTTTGGGGGTACCTATTTCTTTATATAGCAGTTCCTAACCATAAAACTAGGTACCTTAAAAAAGGGGTAGGGTATGACCCTGTAGGAAGACTTGTCTTTGATCCAACTCACTCAGACGCCTCGCCAGAGAATCCCCGACTGTCAGAGTGGACTCCCCTAAACCCCTCATCCCTCAAGAGGAGCCAAAGTAGGAGACATAAGAAATCCTCCACACCAGGCCCCCGCCGCTTCCCGTTGTCAAGTAGGCTCAGTTTCTTGGATCCTTGATTTTTACATGGACTTGTTATGACTTGTTGTTTCGCAAAAACGTACCCCAACGCGTAATCCCTCCCTTGTTTGTCTACCCCGAGCCATACTCCAACCGGGACGCCTATGCCAGCCATATACAGTACCCACTCCCCTCTTTTTCATGGCAGGCGCTCAAGTGTCTAATTAATTCATGATTGAGTTCCCTCGCGTCGAGAGCCAATGGTTCGTGTCGTGTTGTTCTCCACGTGATGTACATATTTCGCTTAATGTTTGATGATTCTGAACCTAAGCACCAAACAGCAGACTCCTCCTGGGGTGGGTTAATCCGAACCAAAGCATCAGGCTTTTGTTTGGGGGCAAAGCTCTGAGGTCCAAGTTGCAACCCTCAGCTCCTTGTGACTTGGCTTTTGGTCCATTGGATCGTTTTGGGGGCTGTAGAAGCACTTCCGATTGCCTCGTACAACAGATTATCCTTCGAACATGGGAGCCTTGCGACCTTGGTCCTGACAGAAGCAAGATCCAGAAGATTCGTGGGTTCAAGGTGCGGGCTTTAGTGTTTTGTGTGTTTTGTTCGGGGGTTTGGTGACTTTGGAGGGTTTGGGGGGCTTTCGGATTGGGGTTTGCGATCGGTTCACGAGTTGTCGATGTTTGATATGGTTTTGTTCAGCGCCGTGTTAGCCGCGTGCACCACCACGAACCCTTGATTACGGTTGGTTGTGATGCGAAGTGTTATGGGGAATGAAACTACAATGACCCGTCCCGAGGACACTGGCACGACCGAGACGGAGCAGGTCCTTTTCGACGCGGCCACTGAGGCACGAGACATCCAAGGTTGTTGGCGTTTGCAGCTGTATGACGAGCATAGAAAGATACAATATGATACAGCAACGATGCAATACAATCTAACACAGTATTGTGCAGCCATGATAATCCTAAACCGTACATGAATGGTGAGAGTCGGAACCAAAGATGTACCTTATCCACGACTTGAGCCAGAGCCGAAGCCGAACCGGTGTGGGTAGGTGTAGGGTGTAGTGCTAGCAGCAGGAGCTTGCAAAAAACTGAATAAGTTCACGAGTCAAAGTGTTCTTTGGTATCCTTTAAGCCCGGCTTTGAATCTGCGAAGTCAAGGCTCGTCTGTGGAGCATTGTAGGCTGCAGTGTTCGAGTCGGAACTGTCCAACAGGAAGTATTATGGTTTGCTCTCCATGTCTGAAACGGAAAGAGCAGCACCCACAGCCACACGTCGCTCGAAGTTTTCTATGTTGGATCTTTCGGACACCCTGTAACGTTTGGCACACGTACCTGCAGTGTTGCATGGCTTTCGGGCCGCTGTTTGTCATGCCAAAAGCTGAACAGCACTGGACCGGAGCAGGAGCAGTGCGTGTGCCCTCTGACCTTTTGCAAGCCCAGTCAGTCTGCCGTAACGCCAAGCTTTGCCAGAATCGATAGCCTTGTGCCTTCACCTCAGCACACGCACACGAAACCTCAACCCCAGACCCAACCCGTAAGGCGTCAAGACAAGTTGTGAGAGCCGAAGACCACGAACACTCGAATGATCGAAGCCTCCGCCCTGGTCCTTAGATCTATCGAAAGCGTTGCAGGCGAACACTCCCAGCGAGGACACCAGGGACGAGGATCTGCAAGAGGTGGGCTCGGCCTCCTAAACACGAATCCCCGAAGCTTGGGCATTTGGTTCATTGTGTTATCGTTAGTTCCGGCCAAACCCCTTGTGGTTCGCATGTCCAGAATTCCGGGATGCAGTTCAGTTCCTCAAGTGTCTTTCATGGGTGCAGCTTTAGGACAGGCAAACTGTTTGGAATCCTCGTAGAGTTGCGGTATTGTGAGAAGGGTGGGCATGCTGAAAGTCGAAGTTGTTCATTCTGAGCTCGAGCTCCCCTGGTAACGCATTTGCATGATCATGGACTGGAGAGGGCCTTCGCCCAAGACAGACGAAGTTAATGAAACGCCACGATGGTCGACAGCTTTCCGGTCTGTCGGGTACTCTGAGGATTGGCAGCACGGGTGACAAGAAGGGCGATACCATGCATCCGGCTGAGCACACCGCAACATGCCAGACATACTGAGATGATGATTGCAAAAGGCCATACTGTGACGATGACAATCACGAGTCTCGTGGTGATCACCGCTACATTTATTAGAATACCCATACCGTTAAGTAGGTTGTTTCCCCAAATCACCATAATCGTTATTACCGTCGCCACCAAACCCAGTTGGGACGAGGCGGATGCAGCAGATGGGCAGCTCGGGCCTTCGCAAGGAGACAGAGCAGCACATGGTTGCACACGTTTGAGACTGTTCGATGTGTCGGGCTCCGGGCATCGCGGGCAGAGTTTCGGCTTGGAGCATATGCAGGATTGTTGTCTGTCCTCCGTCCATTTCTGCCTTGTCCTGTCGTATCTCGCACTTCGAACTTCTGTTATCGGACCTGTTTGCATGCATGTGCATGCATGGCTCTGGTGATTCTCCGGGCCGCAGGCAGTCCAGAAGCATCTGTTGATTCGATCGCAGAAACCTGTGTGAGCCCCAAGCCTTAAATGCGAAACCGTGCCTGCCCTGTGCGAGTGTCCGAGTCGAAACGCTAAACCGACGCGGATCCAAAGTTGGGTGGACTTGCATTCTTAAAACGCGCTCTTTGGGGAGCGACCAAACCTTGAAAAACACATCCCAAACATCTTGACACACTTTCGCTTCGTACATCGCGACGATCCCTAAGACGTCTACACGCAAGTTGACAAGAGGTGGAGATCTTCTGTCAAGTAAACGAAACACTTCCATGTTCTTTAGGCATGGAGCACTGTGGATAGTAAGTCCTTACGGCTTGGCAGGCATTCAGAAGTGCTGACACATGGCCTTCCGACCCTCGTCAAGCTGTAAACCGTTTTTATACCTGCACGATTTGAACCCAAACCCTACAACGATATGGGTGGTTGTCAAAATTATGGTCCCTTTTTGGGTCCTTATTATAATACGGCACCTAATATTTAGGGTACCCCAAAAGGGACCATAATTTTGACAACTACCCAATATGATTTTCACGTTGTGTTTATGTGTGCTGTCTGTTGCCCTGATGCCATAACCGGTCAGAACAGCATGAGCTCTTTTCTTGCAATGTAGCATGTATATGTACTCCACATCCTAAAGGGTACTGACACCCGCGCATGAATTCATATGCAAGGCACTATTTCATTTGCACGGCGGCACGCAAGCACGACGATGAGTTTGACGACTGCATGTAAACACGATGATGAATTTAAGTGCATGGTACATTGCATGTTGAATTTAAGAATAGCCTGCTGGGGCCATGACGTGTGGAGCGCGTCGACGAACATTGATGTTCGATGTATGCATGCCGCATGCTGAATAACTACTTTTGGAGTGCCTTTGCATTTGCATGTGCAATCATTTTCGAGGTGTCAGCCGAACTGCACGCACCCAGACATGTTGCGCAGAGCAAACTAAGGGAGTCGAGGGAGTGACAGTCCTTAACATGCGGTCTAGTGTATCCACCGTAGAGGAAGGGAGAGTATTGAAGGCGTGCTCAGCTTTGTCTGACGAACCAGCCCATGACAAGCATGTAGATTGTGATGGGTCGATGAGGTGCATGTTATGGGCTACGCCCCCTCCGCCTCTAGACATCTGCGATCATGGTTCTGTCGCCCTGCTTTGCTTGCCCTGCCGCTAACACTGCACTACTCGGTGACATTGAGCCTACGCCCTTGCCCCTCTGACAAACCACTAACCCACGCAAGATCGCTGCCATGGCCTATGAGAAATCAGACATCTGAGCCGCGGCCGTACGTGATCAGCAGAGGCCCTACTTTCTATGGGTGGAAGACAGCGGCATAGCAGAGAATCGAGCCCTACACATGCGGACAGGGCAATCAGCTGTGCGCAGCATACTCGGCTCTGGATGTACCGGCGATGGTGGCACAATAGTGGGTCCATGTCTTTTTCGGACTTGGCAGTGTGTGGCGCAAATCGTATGCTTGAGTTCTCTTGGCTACTCTGGGCACTAGAGTGAGGGCTTCTACATTCTGCATGGAATCTGGGGACTGAATTCTGACCTGCATGACTGCAACGCACGAGAGTGACATAATGCAAATTTTGGCTGCCTCTATGAGGAGGACTATCACAAAGCCGAGGCAAAGTTCAAGATGGTAATATCACTGCATGGGATCATCAACACGAATTCTGACTGCACGATGAATTTGGACAACTCAGGCACGGCCCCGGAACTGGCTATATTTCTTGATCGCTCAGCATGTTTCTGAGGAGAACGTGAAGAGTCTGTCGACACTGCGTGTGTTGCAAGTCCTCCAACACAACGACGAATTCTGTATGCACGTAAAAAAAAAGAATGGACGTTGTCCAGCACGCCCACTGAGGTCAATGTGAAGAGTCTGCCGACACTGCATGTTTTGCAAGTCCTTCAGCACAACGATGAATTCATCGAGCACGGAAGAGATGGACGTGATAGTGCTACGTCGCCTCGGTGAGTGAAGCAAAGGATAGAACAGGGAATGTTTTGAAACAGTGGTTCTGAACGCTGTATGTGCGACAGAGGAACGTGGGCGCAATAGACCCGTTCTGACGGACTGTAGGTCGACGTGTTTGATATGCCCTGCCTGTTTTAGAGGTTCGTGGTTGTGTTGATC